CCTATTGGATTGGTCAAGGTGAATTGCGGTAGTACGGTGTGGCTTCAGACAGTACGACCGTAAATCTCGCGCACTATGACAACTTCAGATCATCGCGTTGTCCCAGTAGTCGCGTATCAGCGGCTTTCTACTCTTTTCTCAGCTAACGGCTTGCTCAGCGAAACTGGCACTTATTAATAAAGAATTTACTCCATTCTTGAAGTTTGGCACTTCTGAAGTGCGAAGCAAGCTACCATCTTCTTGTGTCACTGCCCCTTCCACTACCTGTCACATTTTTCATTATGAAAGGGAAGAACTTCACCAATCGAAACTACTGCATATATTCTAGAGTACTGAGGTAAAGAGTTAATACAGAAGATAGGCAAACAGTCTGTTTATGAAAGTGACACGAATTCCTCACGGACTACAATTAAATCCAGGCAAGCTAATATTCAAAGTATCAACTTTCTGGAGAAAATGAATCTCCATAAACCAACCTCAGCATTTTCGTTAGAAACTGGCAATGACCGATCAATAAATTTTCAGACAGTTTCGTCCAGAGAAAGACTTCTCGAATTAAACCCCAGATGGGACGACGCATCGATTTCCAATGAAAAATTGTTTTTCGCTCTACCATCTACCTTCAGCGATACGAAACGGCTGGAATGAAGTAAACGAGGCCTGGTAATTGAACAGAAAAAAACCCTTATAAACAGAAGAAAACAACTTACGCGGTTTATCAAATCTTTTATATGTACCACAGTGACATAATCAACTTTCGCAAATCATTCATTATGGCTGAGGAGGATATTTATCGTTGTCACAATCAGCGAAATAGAACTTTACAGGCTTTTTTTCTTTGCTTCTGAGTAGAGCTCAATTTCTTAAGGTTAATGCAGCAAATTAAGCCAATATGCCCTTTAACTCAGTTTATGTGCTCGTGTCATAATCTGTTAATTAATCATAATAGCTGAAATATGATAATTTCAGGTAAATAAAAAGAAACCTATTGGTCATTGAAACAAAACTAATGATCAACTATGATTGCCACTAGGTCTTAATACGAATGATTTGGAATATATTGCCTATAATAATTTATATTTGGTCAGAATCAATTAAGCCTGCCATCCCAATCTGCTGAACCACTGATTATTACATTAGCATGCTTTCATTCTTTCAAAGTTCTATACAAAACTGAATGGTGAATGAAACCAAACAAATAAAAGAAAAAAACTTTTTCAGCGGTCATGGAGATTAGCCTAATGATTGATTGCCGATATTTACGCTAATAACGTCTGAAACATGACTCTAGCTTAAGATTTTGATTCATAGCTCTAACGTCAGGGAACTGATCTGTGGAATTAATAGCCAGTTCGCACATCTACAAAATGCCGCGTTTCAATAAGCCTGACAGTATTCGAAAAAGCGAATTTCATCACTTATGATGGACATGTTATGAACATTTCTAAGATATGGTCATTACATTATATTAATTTAATGCTATTATTAGTTTTCCATTCCCTTAATGTGAGGCAGATAGGCAGGCAAACGCGAAATGCTTCATTAAAGTAGAGCTGCTTCCTAAAAAGGCAAAGAAGACCTTTCCATCAGCACTGAACGTTGCCCAATATTAATCTGAGTACCGTTTCTAATGGTCAGACATCATAAATTGAAGTTACTCTGTCAGCCTCAGATGGTGATGACAAATCAACAATAAAACGACTGGTGGAAGTTATATGGGGTTATATGTCAACGTTGCATCTCCCGCTGCTTATAAGCGCTCACAGATACCGTTTAGGTAGGTGATAGTCAATGGCATTTGAACATCTGCAGTTCGTAGGATACATAGAAATCATCACCCAATCACGTCCCCCACGGCAACTCGCACTCATGGCCCTGATCCAAATGCACCTCTCCACGACGTAATGAAAATTATCCCTTAAACGTTATAAATACTATTCTTATTTACAAGCAACCAAAGACGCTTTACTTTGACATCGCCGTAAAATCAGCCAGAAATCGAAAGTTCAGTGACTTAAATCAAGAAAGATTACCGACCTCTAGGGCTAAGAGAACGACTCACAGTTGAAGGAAGAAGGGATAGTCTGCGATATTGCCTTTAATATCCTAGATTCAAAATTCAGAAAAGATTATAGAAGTTAAGAGAGGACAAATGCCATCCATATAAGAATTGAAAATTACCAGATGAAGCAAAGCAGATTTAAGATTTATTCAAAATAGAAAATAAGAATGGACTCAGGTTTGAAAAGGGGTCAGTGTTTTGGTCAGGAAGAAGAAAAATCTAGTTAGATGGTTGGCAAATATCAAAAGAAACGAGGCGAGACTAACTTTATAGGTCAAAGAACGAAAAATATCAACGCACCATTTAATGACAAATCGAAAGACATGTTTGGGTAAACTGACGGGAATCACTACGGTACTACCTCACATACTCCAATAAGAAATAATGAAAGGATGAAGAGGTTCGAGAAGGCAAAATCTACATGAATAAGATCTACACGATTCGCAGATATAAAGTGCGAAGAGGTAAGAATACGATTGAGTGCTGTCCGTGTTGGATTATTTTGCGTTTGCTTCGTTATATTTCACAAATCCAAATTAGTGTCTCCGTTTACGTAAGCAATGGCAGCGAAAAGATTATGAAATTGCATGCAATGGCGAAGTATGATCGAGTCTAGTGTAATGTGTTTCATGAACTCAAGCCAGAGCTGCTAGTGAATGCCATACCTCCCTATGTTTTCGTGGCAAGTCTGTCGGGCAAAACATCCTCTGACAACCAACGGACGTTGGAACCAGAGGTCAAATATATTCAGGAACAAAGAATCACATTTATGTTTGATGTATTTCGCACGTGAATCACATTTT